AGAGGAGATTTGAGCACGAGGCTGCACCCAGAAGTGATTCCCAGGGCATCAATACAGGCACAAAAGTGGGAATGCTCAGAAGTATTTTGAGGTAAAGAGGAACTAGGTGATACCAAGACCTTGGGCCCTACAAAGCTCCATCTGGGCCATTCCAGTGTCATGAAGAGCTATGGAGAGAGCTCAGCTCACATTCTGGAGGTTAATTTTATAACACAGGAGAAAGTTACACATAGGAGTAACTCTGTGTGCAGAGTGTGAAGAAGTGGTCTGCTTTCCACCTGGGCTGATTTGTCACGTTCTTCAAGTATCCTGAAAAGAGAGACTTGGAAGGAGGTGCAGAGAGGATTAATTACATATCAATTGGGTAAAAACCCAAACCAGATTACAATGATCATTTTTCTTCCAGCTGATGACTGAAAGAACCCTTCCAGCTTGTTTTGGGCTCCGGGTTTTGGTTCTGACTTGTTTTTTCTTGAATATGTTGTCCTCAAGGCTTTAGTACCACACACAAGAACTTCCAGCCCTTTCATTTTATGGCAAATATCACTTCAGTCCAAGAAAAGTGTGACATCTGCTGAATTCACTGTCTCTACTCCATCCCTGTCACAGTTTGAAGCAATTTTTATATTAAAAGCAATGAAAGGCCACATTTCATGCAGAATCTATTTTTTTCCAGGAGAATTATTTAAATCAGATAATGTTAGTGGGATTTTCCTTTTCTCTTAAAGATAGAAGAGAATGAAGGAAGAATATGGAAATGGTAGTTTTTTCCATGGAAATATTCTATCGCCTACAGACTGTGGTTTGCAAAATAATTTTTCTTTTAAACTATCTAATAAAGAGAAGGGGGCACTCCTCTTAGCAGAATTAAAGAACCCCAAAGAACTTTTATTTCTGATCAGCAGCATTCAGAAGTCACTCAGATTACGTTCTTTATAAAGCTGTTACAGTATCACAGGCCAGATTAAAGGGAATTTTCTAAATCTTAGTTCTCCCTAGATCTAAATCTGTCTTTAGATGACCTTCCTGATTTAATCCAGATCATGAGCATGCTCAACACTCTTTTCTATATATTTGGAGAAGCCAGTGAAATGGAATGCAGTATCAGAGATGCCCTTATTTGTAATTTGCCTAGGAGGTGTTCCTATACATGATAAGCACAGCTCTTTTTTTTTTTTTTTTTGTTATGCTTTTATGAAAGGCTCATCTAACTTACTGATATCCTGAATAGGTGTTCCATTATAAAGGACATGGTGGTTTTGCTATTGTAATATTGTGGAATTTTTTTTTCTGCAAAAGGTATTAAATTTTTGAACTTAAAACTACTAAGAGGAAAAAAAAATAAAAAAGTCAAAGAATTAAAAATAAAGAGAAACAGCTCTTCCACTGGGATATTTTTCTCTTTTTTTACTAGAATCATTCTATATTTGGATGCTATTGGTCCAAACACAGTCTTCATTTCTGGACCTTATATCACTTTAATTTTAAGTACCTTGTACTCTATATCTGAGAATCAAATAAGCAAGACTCAGAGAAATACAATATTTAGATATGAAAGAACATACAGTTATGCTGCTGTACTGTTTCCACAGAGAGTTTTGCTTACTTCCAGAATCTAGATCTTGCAGGTTGAAAGTTCCTCAGAAAAAAAATGTTTCTTTGTGTCCCTTAATTCAGCCTTGTGGCAACAAGGTGGGGTTTTCAAAAGGCTTGGAAGAAACAGGACTTTAAAAAAAGTCAAGGATCGAATAAAAACAGAATCCTGCATGTGATGCCCTTAAATTTCTGTCTTTTAGAAAGATACAGTTTACAGATCAGTTACTGGTATTGTCTTTCCCAGAGCCTGACATTACAGAATTCAACTCTCCCAAAGGAAGAACAATGCTGATCCACAAAACCCAGAGATGAACCAGAAGGTGCTGAAAAGTTTTGTACCAAGTACAACCCAAATTAGAAATGGCCATGGCAACAAAGAGAAGGAGAGGACTTGGCAGAGCAGTTAAATGCTTAATGCTCACTAATGCATTCAAACATAGGTTCATAGCTATTTTCCCCAGACTGCACACCATTTTCTGTCATTATAATAATTGGGTGTCTTTGTGTTGGACTAAGGGAATGCCTCTGTTCAAGCTTCTGTTTAAATGATTGTTGGAAGTGCAATTCTCAGCCAGCAGACCACAGCACTAAAGTTAGTGTTTGCTGAGCACTGTATTTGAACTCTGTTAGGAACTATTTGGGCAAGAGTTTTTAATACACGTTTTAGCCTGGGTAATTTTCAGAAAAGCAGCCTATGACCTTGTTGACTATGAAAGGCAAAGGAAATTTTTCCTATAAGGACCAATTTTGCAACCAGAAGGCTGCAGCAACCTATTAGTTCTGAGTGCCCAGGATCCCCTTGGTATGGCTTATAAGAAAAGACTGATGGTGTCCACTTAGGAAACCCAAGAAAAAAGATATTCCTAATATAATTTCCTATATTGTGTTCAGCTCAGATATTAAATATATCCATGACAGACAGACGACCAAATATAAGAATGAATGTCTCAACCCACAATGATATATATATAATATTTCCACTTACATCCAATGCTGAAGTAAATTGGAATAAGGGTATAGCTTCAACCCATTGTTCATGAAGAAGAATAAAGCACACATTGTGCAAGAGAAAAAACAAGTGTATTACTGATGGCAGGAGTTTCTGTGACCTAGCCTTCAGATTTGAACATCCAGCCTACCTTAACACTATAAACATGCTTGGAGAAGGCAGCAGCTGTGTCTAAACAACTGCAATTTGCTACAACACTGGAAGGTAGAAAATATTAAAAGCTCTTCAGAAAACATCCCTAGTATTATATCATTAAAATTGTTTATCAGTTACTGAGTCAAGAACTAGAGCACTAAAAAAATGGCTGTGGTGGAGGACCAGAGGACCTAAGTCTATTACTGAAACCCAGGAAGGAAACAGAAAATATACATTTTGCTTTAAGCTTCTGACCTTGTTTTCTCTTTCTCCTTTCAACTTGCAATTTACTTCCCAGCTGAAGAACCATTTTTCTCAGCACATCTATGACCTTCTCCCAGTGTCTGCCCTCATTCTTTGCCTTTTGACATATCTGATTAGGTTTTTTTGTCTTCAGCTTGTATCCATTACTGGCTGCACAGTATACCAAAGGCTGAGTTCAGTGGGTGGGTTTGGTCCAAAGTGAGGGATGGAGTGAGTCCTTTCACTAAGAGTGCTCATGGCAGAGCCAAGATGTCCTTTGTTAACTTTCTGTACCCAGTGCAATTATGTAGGTAGTCACACTTTTTCAAACAAAGCACTTTTCTGTGAAAGGAAAGGCCTCTCCTGAAATGGATACTTTTGCTGAGGTGTTTTGTTCTGGTTTTTATCTTTTGTATATAGGTAAAGGAGCCCAAAATATTTCAACTGTGTTCCTAAAAGACAAAACTTTATGGAGACATTTAAAATAATTGGGAAATAAAGCTGGACTTCTCAGTGTTCAGCTGTTCCAGCTGAACCTTTCTGTTGGTATTTGCAAACAAAGCATTTCTTAAGTTTTTGTTGCATTTTCTTACCATTTTTCTAATGAATCCCAGTTTTAACAGCCATGCCTTTGTGCTGAGGAATCAAGGTACCTTCTGGAGACAGTCAGCCCAAAAAGGCTGATCAAAGATTTTTGCTTTCTCATCGGTCCCTCCTTGCCTCGCTTGCTGCTCCTCCAAAGCCAGCTCTCACTAGCTCTGCTCCAGAGCAGGCATGCAGACAGCATATCCAAAGAGGCTTTTTCAGCAGCCTGCTCTTAAACTTGGTTTCCACATGGATGGGAAGAAGACATTCAGCCCTTTACTTTACACAACTGAGGGATTTGGGCTGCATTGCCTTGAAGAACCGCGTCAAGTACGGAGAGTTGTTGAAATTATCCGAGGCTTTCTAGCTGCTAAAATATTCCCTCCCATATGCTGAGTGTCGACTTTGAAAACCTTGCTCATTCTTTGCTGCATCTGGCATAGATTTCCAGGGGGGTAGGGCAGGCTCTGCGGTCGGCAGAGACGAGCCCGGCTTCGCAGCTGCTGTTTCCTTCCTCTGACAATGCAAAAAATATCTTCAAGGGGGGAATCCCATTTAACATGCAAGTGCTGATACCAAAGATGCTTCAGCTTCCCATCCTCTCTGTGGCAGGGTCCTGAAGCAAATAGTGCAGCTAATATTAACCCATACACCACCCTCCTCCAGTCTGCACCCCTTCTCTTAACTTCTGTCGTGACTGAGCTCAGCGTAAACACCACAAAATTAAAATATAGTTTAGTAATTTATAGTGAACAACTCTCTTTAGTGAGTTTCATCCCCTTTCAGATTTTTTTTGCCTGACAGTTTTGATTTTTACACAGTTGATTCGTGCCAAGAAGAATTCCAGTCACAGACTATTTTCCCCTACTTTTAATAGCATTTCTGCATCCTGGCAAAACCGGCTGCATAGAATGTTTTGCAATAGGGTAAAGGAATCATACAAGGGTCAGGGTATTTTCCATACATATGATGGAAAAACTGAATGTTATGATCTAAACAGAAGGGACAGAGGCACCACAGATGTTAAAGTTTAATCAGAGTCTTTTGTGCAGCTAAAATCTAAACCCAATATGAGGATACTTAGGTGTAGCAGACCTCAGCCTTATTATGTTCTGTATAGAAAGGGATTTGCTTATTTAATTAGAATATAAACAAGATGCAGATTGCATTTAGCTGCAGGTGGGCAAGCATTTTTAGGAACATCAACCACAACCATATTGTGCTCAAAGAGGGATTTTTTTTCCCCTATACTTTACCCTAGCTCTTCAACAGTGATAACAAGTCACCATTCTTTAGGGCAAGTGTGGAAAATGCTGGTGTGGGGTCTCTCTTTGTAGAGAAATGTAGCCAGTGATCAATTACATGGTTTACCAGGATTCTCTCACAGTTGGAAGAGACCCTCAAGGATCATCAAGTCCCACTCATAAATGAATGGCCCATACAGGAATTGAACCCCCAATCCTGGTGTTATTAACTCCATGCTCTAACCAGCTAAGCCAATCTCAGGGTCACATCATCACACCCCAGCGCAGGGTACAGACAACTCATTTTTTATTCTCCTAAAAATTTCACTGAGATGCTGCTGACCTTAGCAAAAATATACTAATGAGATGGAAAAGAAGAGAAAATTAAGTGTATTCCATACATGGGCTAAGAGATGCCAGTGCAGTTTCTCCAGTCCATGCAGAGTGAGGATTGCCCTGAGTTTAATGGAGAAAACTGATGGAACGGTTTAGCTGGGGGGTGTGGACTCTGCTCAGCCAAACTTAAACTAGATCTCCCTGTCAAGATTAGCCCCACAGCCAAGACACTTTCTGTGGTTATGTCAACACAGCCACAGAGCAGCAGCTGATCTCGGCGTTTCAGGAAGGGGCTTAGGGCATGCCCAAGGAGAAGCAGTGAGTACCAGGGCTAAAGGGGTAAGTAGGGGTTGCAGAGCAGTGCCCTTGGCTCCTGTTTAACCCAAATTCTTCCCTGCCCATTCCTCTGCACCGCCCTGGGCAGTGGGGAAAGCATCAGCCACAGGCAGGTCTGACATCTGTCCCAGGACACAGCAGGGAGCAGCAGAGCTTTTCCTTCCTCGGGCTCCCACAGCTGGGCCCAGCTGGCCCTGCACACTCACAGGACTGGGAAAACAGATGAATTGCAGTCACTTAGACTACCTGAATTAAGCACTGAGGGTCTAAGTGCTTCAGAAGAGTTCTGCCTTTTGAATGGTTTTCTCTGCCTGTTACTTCTCAGCAAGAACGTTTTTGATCCAACTGCTAGTCCAGCTTATTTTACATGGGGCTATAATTTTCAGTGCCTTTCTACCAATGCTTGTTATCTACTTAGATAGGAATGCCTGTTCATCTTTTTCAAACAATGTAAAAACTATACAAGCAAGTGGATTTTAGTCCAAATCCAAAACGTTGGTACAAAAGATGCATAAATCTTAAACTTCCCCTATGCACTGAGCAATCAGCCTTCATTACAACTATTGTCTTTGTGTTCTTTGCACCTGAATTTTATCCAGAAGAAGTATTACCACGGTAGACCAATTTTTAATTGAGGAGTGACCATCTCCAGGAAAAAAAAAACAACTTAAAAAATATTAATATAACAATGATCAAATGCATTCAGTGCAAGGAATTATTATCTGCCTGTGAGTTGCTCAGCCTGGAGGGATCTCAATGAGTCCTGGGTGACTGAAGATAAATGTATTAATTTCTCTGCTTGCCTCTACTGGAAAGATTATCTGTGGATAATTTCTGCAAAGGTCTTCCCTTCTTGGCCTTTCCAAGTTGTTTATTCTTAGTTGTATGGAATCTACCTCCTGCTATTGTGAACCCGGAGCATCTGCTAATTGCTGTATGCTGTTTCCTTATACCTAAACAAAATTAAAATGGTAAATCTCCCTTATTCTCAGTGATAGCGTGGTCAGCTCTCTTCAATAGCAGAGTTTAACTCATAACAAAACACAGCTGAAGCAAAAATGAATCTTCATAGGGTGAAATAAATGCATTAAGAAGAAGATTAAGGATGGCTGAGTGTTTGTGGCTTTGGTTTGGTTTTTTGTGGATTTTTTTTATTGGTGATTTGTTTATTTGGTTGGGGTTTTTCTGTGATATTCAGGTATTGAAATCAAAAGCGAAAAACTTATTCCTCCCTTTTATGCTCTTCTTCCTACCAAAAGTCAGACCATTTCAAGTGGGAGAAGAAGTAGTAAACAAAGAATATTTCTTGCTGATGGGTCAGCCACAGTTTTATGTAGGCTGAAAAGTAGATTGTAATCCTGTGAAACAGCAGCATACTTTTGTTCCTCCCTCCCTGCCCCCATCCTGAAAACACACATGGCTTGACAAAATGCCACCAGAACGTGCTTGAAAACAGTGATCTCATTGTGAAGGCTGAAAACTTAGGGCTCAGTATGGCTGGATGATTGAGAAGCACAACATGCTCAACAGATGTAAAAACTGTATAATTCATGACTTTCTCAAGTGGGGAATGAGCTTCCACAGCCAGTTACTAAACCACTGCAAGAGGTGTAAAATATCCAGCGATTTCCTACGCGAGTGCACCAACATTTCAGATATGCACATACTACTTGTGAGTTTTGGCTAGTGGTCACTGGGACTGTTTCTCCCTGCTCTGTTCCGTGCCTGTTTTCAGGTATCTTAATAAGAGAGGGGAGACTCAGCATTTCATCCTTCCTTTTCCTACTAAATGCCAGGAAGGTGGGGGGAAGGGGGTAAGCAAACATACTCTAAGCAACTTAAGTCCAGAGAAAACTTAAAAGGAGATTACAAACCTCAGGCATCCCACTTGTCTTAGTGAGCTGTCAGGAAAGCCAGTCTAATCCAACTGGGTTTGTTGCTCCCTTGGGTCTGCAATCCTGCATAGACCTCCCTGGCAGGCTCTGTAATTTTGGAAAGTTAACTGAGGCTCACACGATCCCTTTTCAATTTTTTTTTTTTTTTCCCAAAGAGTTTCCATCCCTTGCTTTCTTCTGAACTTCAGAACCCAAAGCAATTAATTTCTGAAACCTTTCTTTACATTTCCATATTTTTTTTCCTTTTAAGCAGCTCTCTCTGCTACTGCACATAGTTTCTGCAGGGCCTCACAGGGGAAGGTTGCTGAAATTTCTTGCTTCCAGATCCAGCAGGCAGCTGGAAGACATTTTACCTTTCTGTGCTACAGGTTAGAACCATGTCAAATCATGACCAGAGGACTTCTTGCTCTCCAAGGACTGTCATTCCCATCCTGGCTGCACCTTCTCCAGCTCCAGACATATTCCCCCAAATAGGAACAGCCATCCCCACCTTTCTAAAACTGCTTTGTTTCAGTACTCTTAATAGAAGCATGTGCCAGAAAAATAAAGAAAAATAAATTAGTGCATGGGTACAATCCTGGGTGCCAGATTGCCAGCATCTGGTCAGAAAATAGGGAATTAGCCTGGGAAACAGGAGAAAAAGAATATATCAGCTGTGCCCCAGTATATATAAGTTTTGAAAGAGGATCTCTTTACAAGAAGAATATGAATGAGACAGAATTATGGCATGCCCACAGCCTCCCAGAGTTTTAAAAAGTCTTCCCAAATTAACATGCCTCTTTAATTTAGACTGCAAAGAGCCTCCTAGGCAGCTCCCCAGCCTTCACAGCTGTTGGCAGGTAGAAGAGAATGGAGCAGGAGATAAGAGTAGAAGAGTGAATATTCCTTTGGGGAATATGAAGCCTCTGAAAGCAGAGGCTGATTTAGAGATTTCATTTGGCACCTGTCAGAGGTTATTGTGATGCTCATAGTGCCTGTCCCCTAGCATTAGTTTATCACTGCTGCCATGCAGTAACTATTTGGGACAGTATTTTCATGCAAAACCTCATTTTAAAAGACTTGTAGTTTCCCCTCCCTCTTTACTGTTTTGGGAAAAATTTCTCATACACTCTGAACGCCCAAAGTGTATTATTATTTCTGGCCATGTCTGAAGACATTCACATGTAACAAATCACAGGTAGTCCCAGCTGTTGCATATGGTTAAATTCTTTATTGAGATGGAATAAATAATCTCCCCTTCACTCTTCTCTCTCTCTTTCTAAGGCTTGAAATTTGGCAGGTACCTACTACTGAATGCTGAACTCATGCCTTGTCCCAGTCGAAGAATTTTCATTTCACATAACACAGGAACAGCATGTCAGGTGCAGTGAAATTTAACTATGCAATTAGCTTTCCTTTTTTCACTTGGACCTCATGGAAACAGAGCAAGGTGCATGACTCCAAGGAGATACTGGATCACAATATACAAATAGTCTCACTGGCTGGCAAAGCAAATCTTTCTATCCCTGTCCCAGGAGAATGAGGAATTTTCCCTCCCTCCTCCAAACAATCTTCCTGCTGCAGCTAAAAACACTTTTGCCTTTCTCATTTTGATCTCCTTCCTCCAACTCAAGAAAGTCACACATTCATGCACAGAATGAACAACTACAAAAAAAACATTAAAATATCAGTGAAGATTCTTATCTTTAAGTCAATATTACAGAACTGTAAATATAGACAACCTCCCTGCCAACTTTGCAGACATGAACATGCAACATTGCTATAGGTGATGGTTTGGAGAGGCTGAAGTAGCAGGTAAAGAGGTTGCAGAGCCTTGGCTTTCCTGCAGACTTCACAAGTTAAGATGCCTAGTTTGTCATTTGGAGAAACTTTGGCACATTTTGTCCCAAGTTTGCGTAAGTATTTTAGATAATTAAAAAAAAAAAAAAAAGGACATTTAAAATATTTATTTTTCATAAGATTTCTACCTGAATTCAGCATGTCAATCCGTATTCTGCACATCTAAGTCTTGCATTCCACGACCAGGAACATTCATCAGAAAATTGTCAATTTTAACAAAGCTTCTCCACTTTGTCAGACAAACAAACAATCCAATGACTTATATCCTAAAACTTCTGACCTTTATAAACACATTTTCATTGTCACAAGTGACATAAAATACTAAGACTGCAAGACACTTACTTAGTGGTAATTGTATGAGAAAACCTGTACTATGCACACTTTGCTGTCCAAAATTATAAAAATCCTTCATGACTTTCCTGAGAGAAAAGACTTTAAAGCACAACTTAATTTAGCTGACAATCAAAGTGTATTTTTGCTGCGCCTTACTACTGAATAGTGACAACGTGCACTAATACATGGCAAGTCCACTGTTGAGGAAGTCACTGTGATTTTTTTTTTTATTTCAGTGCTTCTGCAATTGAGATGGCTTACACAGCCCAGATTATCCACCTCAAAGAGGTTTGCTTGAAGTGCAAGACACGCTAAGGAGATGTTTACTTTCATCCTCAGGTTCACCGTGAGAAATCCTTTGAGTTGAAGTTTGGACAAAACCCAACTGCTCTGATGTCAGTGGAGTTTGTCCACTCCATTGTGGGCAATGCCATTGACTACAGTGGAGCCAAACACAATTTGTGACTCTTTCATCAAGGGAAAGACACAAAAAGTTAGCCCTTTGCTGCACATTCAGAATTAAGAAA